TCTACTTTCCCTGTCAGAAAGTGCAGAGTGTGTTCGTTTGGACTTGGACGAGGATGTTACAACCATCGAGTTTGGCTGAGGGTGGAAGAATAAAAATTCAGCTCCAGTCTCCTGAACTCTATACATGTAGTCCAGGCATCTTGTTGACACTGGGGCTGATGAAGGCTTCTCCCATGGTGCTTTTGAAGCTTGTAAAAGGACCGTGTACATGGGCAGTGCTATGGTAGTGGAGGTATCCAGTTGCATGATATCGAAGACGGCATCTGTAACCTGTGGTTGTTGTTGTACGACTGAGAGGCCTAGAGAATGGGCCATTCTTTTGACGAGGTCTGCATAGGAAGTGAGATTGTCGGATGGGGATATAGGTAGATCATCTGCGACAGCTTTGTTAAGAGACTTATGGTCAGGGGAGGTGTGAGCCTCTGAGGCCTCCGTATCAGAATCCTCTTCTGCAGAATCAGAGGAGCCCTGATCTGGCATTTGAACCGGAGTAACTTCCGTTTGACTAGTTAAAATCTTTGGTGGTACGACTTGGGGGTTGGGAGGATGATAGAGTTCCGGTTTATGCTGGGAAGGATCCTCGGCTGGAGGTCGAGATAGACATGCTGAAGGTCTAGATTTGTACAGCGACCTTGATCTGTGGGCAGAGTTGGTCGAGTAACGATCCCAGTCAGAATAGCCCACCGGAGTCAACCATGGCATGGATGGTGGATAACCTCCATAGAGATACCTCAGTTGGTGTTGATCCCGAGACAGAGATGGGGGGGGATAAAGACTCGGGGGGATCGACTTCTGGATCGGGTATGTCCCAGAGACAAAGCAGTATTCTGCATTTGTGAACGGTCCCTATAAACTCGCTCATCGATATCGACAGATTCAACAAGCAGACATGGAGGGTGATGCTGCGTGCTGCTAGAGATGTGTCGATTTCGACCTGTACTGATGTCGGGAGCCTCTGACACCATCAATGTCAATGACGGGGAAGGAGAAGGTTCTACGTCCAGGGGGCGACTAAGAAGCTCCACAGTCTCGATATTGGAGTAAGGACGCTCGAGTTGTTGTATAGGAGAGTCCAAGAGTTGAATGGTCAGTATCGGCGGAGCAGCATGGGCCTCCGATGCCAATACTGCCGTTGGAGCGGGGGGCACTTTAGGGGCATCACCCTGTGCAGTCACCGCTACCTTCCCCTTCTTTGCCACCTTTAGGGACTTAGAGGAGCCCCCTTTTTTTTTGCGGACTTGTGCTCCCTACTTGACTTGGGCTTCTTCACCGGCGTGGAAGTGGAGGATTTCACCATCAATGCCGGTGGCTTCAACGTCGATTGGCCGATGTCGGAGGAGGGCCTTGATGCTGGAGCTGTCGATGTCGATGGTCTCTCGGACTCCATCACTGAGGGAGGATGTAATGCCGACTCAAGTAGCGTCACTTTAAGGTGCGCAGCTCGATTTTTTCTTGTCTGGTTCGAAAACCTAGCACAGTGCCAACAAGACTCAGGTCAGTGAGACTCCCCCAAACAAAAAATACAGAGGGTGGCAGTCCGGTGGTGCAAGTTTACTGGCGCAGCCCTTGCAATGGTTAAAAAAGCCCCACTTCTTCTCCATAAAAGAAGAAAAGCAGAGAAGAAAAAAAGGGGGGGAGCCCGAAGGCGAAACTGAGGTAAGCCAATAACTTCTCCCTCAACAAAAAACTTTTTTTTTAATTTTAAGAAGAACGTAAGGAGAGAAAAAAGATAGAGAAAACTGAGGAAAAAATCCGAAGAGCCGTGAGGCAAATAGCCAAAAAAGAACCGATCAGACTGACGAAAGAAAGGTCTTTCCAACACGGCAGTAAGAAAGGAACTGGCGGGATGTCCGTGCCCCCCCCCTCTGGGCATGCGTGGTGGGGTTCCTGCGCATGCCCGAGGTCTGGGCGCAAAAATCCGTTAAGAGCTTGCTACAATGCCGATTGATCCAGTGCATGCGCACTAGATCCCATGGGTGTGAAGCACAGAGACCACGTCGAAGATTATGCGGTAATGATGAAATTAATAATAATGTTACAAAATAGATTAGTAACAAAATTTGAGATTTAAAATGTCCAAAGTAAGGACCATTGTATCTTATAGAAAATGTTTTAAAATTGTGATGAAGGGGATGTTGGGGAGAAATATTTTTCAACTTCTTGTTTGATATACCCTGCAATGTAGAACAATCTTTCATTTGTTATATAATCCCCCTTTTTCCTGTAACCCTTTTATTACCAAGTTTAACAGGCTAATTAGCATTGCTAGCAATATTTTCCCCAAATGTTTGAATTAGATTATTGCCTTAAATGGAAGCATCTTTTTAGATCCATGTACTGCTGAAGCCTAGATCGTAGGATCTTGAACATGACCTTGCTAGCATATGAAATTGTGCGATAGTTTGAACATTCCTTGGCATTGTCCTTCTTTGGGATTGGAATGTAAACTGACCTTTTCCAATCCTGTGGCCACTGTTGCGTTTTACAAATTTGCTGGCATATTGAGTGCAGCATTTTAACAGCATCATCTTTTAAGAGTTTGAATAGCTCAGCTGGGATACCATCACCTCCGCTAGTTTTGTTGTTAGTAATGCTTTCTAAGGCCCATTTGACACTCCAGGATGTCTGGCTCGAGGTCAGGGTTGTCCAGGACATTGAGGTCCGTCTTGTATAGTTCTTCTGTGTATTCTTGCCATCTTTTCCTAATTTCTTCTGCTTCTGTTAGGTCCCTACCATTTTTGTCCTTCATCATGGCCAGCTTTGCATGGAATGTTCCCTTGATTTCTCCAATTTTCTTGAAGAGCTCTCTAGTCCTTCCCATTCTATTGTTTTCCTCTATTACTTTGCATTGTTCATTCAGGAAAGCCTCCTTATCTCTCCTTGTTGTTCTCTGGAAATCTGCATTCAGTTGGGTAAATCTTTCCTTTTCACCTTTGCCTTCGCTTTCCTTCTTTCCTCTGCTATTTGTAAAGCCAGCACTAGAGTACTATGTTTTTAAAAAATAAATATATATTTAACAAAAAAAAGATGCTTACAAATCTATAGCTCTTATTTCAAACAGCTGTGTGCCAACACTGTGGTAGTGTTTCATGCCACACAGAGAGGGATCTCTGCTGAATTTTTATCTTGCTTTTCTCCCCAAAGTAGCTTACAAAAATACAATTTAAATGAACAGGAAAAAAAAGAGTGCAATAGACTACATTCTGACCTAGCTATGGATCCGTTGGGCTGCCTCACTGAAGGCCACAGGGTGCAGCCAAGGGCCTTTCACTCTTTCCCTCTTTCCGCCTGAGATGTGTTCTCCACCCACACTCAGACTTAAGTACTCACAAACAGAAGTTCAGCATAGCCATTCCTAAGAATTCCCCTGTCTTGCTAGTTGAATTTCCCTGATAATAGCTATTACTTAAGACATCGGGGCTCCCATTCTTGGTTTTAAAATACCATTTAAAAACATACATACTATCTTTATTGTTGAAGTGATCAGAGCCTTTCCACATCAACGGTATTCTAAGGTCTAAAACAAAAAGGGAAAGTTAAGTCAGAAGACACCCTCACATTCCAGTCTGCTTTCCACTTAATCCCGGTCTAGATGTAAGCCAGTCTTAACACAGCCTAGCCAATCAGCATCAGTAACAAAACTCCAGCTTTTGCTTCTTCCTCCATGTCAACCAAAGGCAGAGCCTGACATCCTCACCATTTTGAATTTGCATGTCATACAAGATACTTACATGACAAGGCCTTCAGATCGTAGCCCAAGACATTTCCCCTGCCTCCCTTTTAACATTCACCCTCACGAAGAGTTCTAGGGAACCTGAAAGCTTGTACACTGTTGTGTTATTTTGGATGGTCCTAATAAAAGCTATTACATAGGTTTTGTGTTTAAGTCTTTTTTGGCACTATTTTACAGTTGCATCAGCTGAAATTTTTTTGAATCTCACATAAAGGTAAAGGTTCCCTTGCTCGAAAGCCAGTCGAATCCGACTCTGGGGTTGCGGTGCTCATCTCAGTTTCAAAGCCGAAGAGCCAGCGCTGTCCGAAGACGTTTCCGTGGTCAGTGGCCGGCATGACTAAACACCAAGGCGCACGAAACGCTGTTACCTTCCCACCGAAGTGGTCCCTATTTATCTACTTGCAATTTCTTGCTTTCGAACTGCTAGGTTGGCAGGAGCTGGAACTAGAGATGGGAGCTCACTCCGTCTTGCGGCACCCGGGTCTCGAACTGCTGAACTACTGATCTTCCACAGCCTGCAGTTCAGCGTCTTAACCACTTGAGCCATCTCACATATGGACATCTAAAATATTTGCTAGATCATGAGGTGGGGGTGGAGTGGTTGAATTGAAGTCTGAAAAAGCCCTGAAGATAATGGTACTATTTCAGCTCAGGAACCTCACAACATAGGATTACATTACAGTGAGTTATGAAGTGTCAAGTTCTGTTAAAGGACTTCAGGCAGAAGAGCTGAAGAAGCCTCTACCTGAGACTTGGAGCGCTACTACCATTCAGAGTAGACAACAGTTTAGCTAGATGGACCAGCAGTCTGACACAATACCAGGCAACTTCCCCCTACCCTTTAGGTAAATACCAATCTACTAGGCTGAATCCATGGGAGAGTCTTGCATAAAATATTCTATTTTTGCCTTGCCAACAAATAAGCAAAATGGTTCAGTACCACAGCAAATAGATGTTAGAAGACATTATGATATTGCATGTATTTCTCAATACACAAGAGAAAAAAATCAGGATAAATCTAGCTTTAAAATAAATAAATGTATATAGTATTTTTAAAAGTAACTTGAAAATACTGGAAAGCAGAAGAGACCAGCTTTATGGCATAAGAGATTAGATTACAATCAAATTCATCAGCAAACATTCTCTGGCCTGCAAAGCAGATTATAAAATCTTCATACTAGCAATAAATCCCACAAACTCTTCCTCATACCTGTCTTAGTGTTTAGCTGGGCAATAGGTTACCTTTTTCTTGGACTCAGGTTAATGTAAGAAAAAAAATCCACACTGCAGCAGGATTAGGGCACAATTTACTCTAAACAGAAAGACGTTGACAATGATGGGAATATACATTTGTTTACTGTTTTAAAAATAGTGGTTATTTTCTTCTGTGTTTCACCAAAGAATCACTTATCAGACTTACCAATCAAACCTGGCAACAGACATTTTTATTTTCCATTTGGGCAGGTAAGCTTCAAGTTATTATTATTTATATGGCACCATCATCATAAGAACATAAGAGATGCCAATGTTGGATCAGGCCAAAGGCCCATCCAGTCCAACACTCTGTATCCCACAGTGGCCAGAAATACCAGTGCCATCAGGAGGTCCACCAGTGGGGCCAGGACATTAGAAGCCCTCCCACTGTTGACCCCCCCCCAAGCACCAAGATGACAGAGCATCACTTGCCCCAGAGTCCCTATCTATACCTTGTGGCTAATAGCCACTGATGGACCTCTGCTCCATATGCTTATCTAATTCCCTTTTGAAGCCGTCCATGCTTGTAGCTGCCACCACTTCCTGTGGCAGTGAATTCCAAGTGTTAATCACTCTTTGGGTGAAGAAGTACTTCCTTTTATCCGTTCTAACCCGACCGCTCAGCAATTTCATGGAGTGCCCACGGGTTCTTGTATTGTGAGAAAGGGAGAAAAGTACCTCTTTCTCTACCTGCTCTTTCCCATGCATAATCTTATAAACCTCAATCATGTCACCCCTCAGTCGTCGTTTCTCCAAGCTAAAGAGCCCTAAGCGCCTTAACCGTTCCTCATAGGGAAAGTGTTCCAACCCTTTTATCATTCGAGTTGCTCTTTTCTGCACTTTTTCCAAAGCTATAATATCCTTTTTAAGGTGTGGTGACCAGAATTGCACACAGTATTCCAGATGAGGTCGCACCATTGATTTATATAGCGGCATTATGATATTGGCTGATCTGTTTACAATACCCTTCCTAATAATCCCCAGCATAGCATTGGCCTTCTTTATTGCAGTCACACACTGTCTCGACATTTTCAGTGAGTTATCTACTACAACTCCAAGATCTCTCTCTTGATCTGTCTCTGCCAGTTCAGACCCCATCAACGTGTATTTATAGTTAGGATTTTTGGCTCCAATGTGCATCACCTTGCACTTGGCCACATTGAACCCCATTTGCCATGTTGACGCCCACTCGCCCAACTTTGACAGATCCCTTTGGAGTGCCTCACAATCCTCACTGGTTTTCACCACCCTGAACAACTTCGTATCATCCGCAAATTTAGCCACTTCACTGCTTACTCCCAACTCCAAATCATTAATGAACAAGTTAAAAAGCAGTGGACCAAGTACTGATCCCTGTGGTACCCCACTGCTTACACCCCTCCACTGGGAGAACTGCCCATTTATACTCACTCTCTGTTTTCTATTAATTAGCCAGTTTTTGATCCATAAAAGGACTTGTCCTTTTATCCCATGATTTTTGAGCTTGCTTAGGAGCCTTTGATGAGGAACTTTATCAAAAGCTTTCTGGAAGTCAAGGTAAACAATATCTATTGGATCCCCCTTGTCCACATGTTTGTTCACCCCCTCAAAGAACATTAACAGGTTAGTGAGACAAGATCTTCCCTTACAGAACCCATGTTGAGTCTGCCTCAATAGGTTTTGTTCATCTATGTGCCTACTAATTCTTTCCTTAATAATGGTTTCCACCAATTTACCCGGTATCGACGTCAGACTGACAGGCCTGTAATTTCCCGGATCTCCTCTGGAACCCTTTTTAAAGATGGGAGTGACATTAGCTACCTTCCAGTCCTCAGGAATGGAGGCTGATTTTAAGGAGAGATTACATATTTTTGTCAGGAGATCCACAAGTTCACAATTGAGTTCTTTCAGAACTCTTGGATGTATGCCATCTGGGCCTGGTGATTTATCAGTTTTTAAGTTGTTTATCAGTTTTAGGACCTCCTCTCTCGTCACCTCAATCTGACTCAGGTCTTTCAACACCCCTCCCGAACTCAGCGGCTCTGGAGTGGGCAAGCACCTCTCATCTTCCACAGTGAAGACGGAGGCAAAAAATGCATTTAGCTTCTCAGCCATTTCCCTATCATCCTTCAGTACTCCTTTTACCCCTTGGTCATCCAAGGGCCCCACTGCCTCCCTGGCTGGTTTCCTGTTTCTAATGTATTTGAAGAAAGTTTTATTGTTGGTCTTTACATTTTTTGCTATATGCTCCTCATATTCCCTTTTTGCATGCCTGACCACAGACTTGCATTTTATTTGCCATAGCCTGTGTTCTGTTTTATCAGCCTCACTGTGACTAGCTTTCCACCGCTTAAAGGAATCCTTTTTACCTTTTACAGCTTCCATTACTTTGTTTGTTAACCATGTAGGCTTTTTCTTATACCTGTTTGTGCCTTTCCTAACCTGCGGAATATATTTTATTTGAGCTTCTAGAATTGTAGTTTTAAACAGTTTCCAAGCTTCCCCAATGGTTTTGACCCTTTCTACTTTTCCCTTCAGTTTCCTCCCCACATGTCCCCTCATATCAGAAAAATTACCCCTTTTAAAGTTAAAAGTGGTTGTGTGAGTCTTTTTGGCCAATTCCCTATTTGTACAAATGTTGAACTCAACAACATTATGATCACTGTTCCCAAGCGGTGCAATCACTTTTACATCTCTCACCAGGTCTTGAGTGTTACTTAGGACCAAATCAAGGATCGCCTCTCCCCTGGTAGGTTCCATGACCATCTGCTCCATAGCACAGTCATTTAGAGTGTCTAGAAACTCAATCTCTTTCTCTCGACTAGAACACATATTGACCCAATCAATGTGTGGGTAGTTAAAATCACCTATTACGACACAGTGTTTTTGTCTAGCTGCTATCTTTAATTCATTCATCATTTTATAATCCTCCTCTATCTTTTGATCCGGTGGGCGATAACAAACTCCCAGTGTTAAGTTTCCTTTTGGCCCCCCTATTTCAACCCACAGAACTTCAAGAAGCGAATCCAATTCTCTTAGCCTCTCGATCTTTCTGGACTTTATACCCTCTCTGACATACAGAGCCACCCCACCTCCAACCCTTCCCCCCCTATCCTTCCGATATAATATATAACCGGGAATCACCGTATCCCACTGATTTTCCTCATCCCACCAAGTTTCTGAAATACCCACAATGTCTATTTTTCCCTCTGACACCAAGCACTCCAACTCCCCGATTTTACCTCGGACACTTCGAGCATTTGTATAGAAACAGCTGTAATTTCCCATACTGGTTAAGCCTGCCACCTTCCTCTTGCAATCTCGAGACCTTGTCAGGCAGTCCATGTCACTAGCCATGGTCTCAGTGGACAATTTCAATCCACCTCCCTGTAGAAAAGCAACAGGTACCCCCTCATCTCTCTGAGATGAGCCAACCCGAACCATAGACTTTTCATCTCCTGTCGGCTTTCCCCCAATATTCAGTTTAAAAACTGCTCTGCCACCTTTTTGATTTTGGAATGCAAGACTTGTACATTTCCTTATATATACCCTCACGGAAATAACTAACTGAACTAGATATTCACATCTCCTTTTTGTTCTACGTGCATACTCCCATTATGGAATAAAAACATTAAAAGCCAATACGTTGTGCAGCAGAATCATACAATTTGTATGATAAGGCCCTGAACAGGGCTTGCCAACATGGAGTGCATGGGTGCTATGGTGCCCACTAAGTGTTTATAGAAAGGGGGAGAGCCAGATGGCACTTTTCCCCAGGAGGGCTTCTGACTGCCTGAGCAGATCTTCACTGACTTTGAAAGTAAGCTGTGTATATGTGCGAGAAAATATTTGAAAACTGTATGTTCATTTTAACAACCATCCTGTTAAACACAGCCTCTGCCTGAAATGTTGAGGAGTTTCTAACAGAGTTATGCATAACCTTACTCCCTGACATTCTGTGCTGGCTCAGCCTCCTGCAACAGCTATTCTGTGGCTGCACCCACAGAACGCCAAATGTGCTTGCAGGCTCAGAAAGGTTGGGTACCCTGGTCTGGAACAATATTTCCACAGACAAAGCCACTCATGTCACAAATCACATCACCATTATCCCATTATAGGAACGTACTTAGATAATGACTCCTTATGGGTATTTTGTTTACAATAGTGGTTAACCAGAGACTTAGTATTATATAATTGCAATAAAATTATTTCCATTTTCAATCACAGTAATATTATTTCCATTTTCAGTACTTCATCACTTCACCATGTATTTTATTACCACCACATTGTTATTTATTTACTTCACGTATTCCCTACTTTTCTCCCCAATGGGTATTCAAACTGGCTTTACAATATTCTCCCCTTCTCTGCTTTATCCTCACAACCACCACATGGGGTAGTTCAGGCTGACAGTGTGTAACTAGCCCAAAGTCACCCAGCAAGCTTCCATCCCAGAGAGGATTCAAACCTGGGTCTCCCAGATCCTAGTCTGACACTCTAACCACTACACCACACTGCTTATTGTTCATAAGACCCAATAAAATGTGTTTACAATCAAGATTTTTTAAAAATGACTTTAACGTTCCAAATGCATTTGACAACGAAGTTCCCTGTGTTTAGGAATTCCAGAGTAAAATAATAAAGATGGAACATGTGTTTCAATAAAAAAAGTCATTGTACTGCAATCTGTTGGACAAGAGAGAATCTTGACCTTCTTTAAGGTTCCAAAATATAGGAAATTAAATATACCTGATATGGCAACCTTGCCCTTACAAGCTTCACGGCCTTTAGCAGCAAAATCTGAAGACCTGACAAAAGAAGCCAAAAATTCTAATTAAATCAAGTAATTAACTTTCGCTGCATTCTTCTTTCATTCAAGAAAAAAATGGCTTAAAGATTAGATTAATGGATATCCAATTATGTTTTACAAGCTTCATTTGCAAGCCCAGTTAGAAAAGCATTTTTAGTTAAATAACCCCTCTACCCAGTTGTGCTTTTGCATTACCTTCTACTTTTCCAGTGTCATGAGCATAAAGAGAACCCAAAAGATTGTGCCCTGGGAGAGTTTCTCTACTTGTTATCTCCCCCCCCCCCCTTACAGTCATATATGTTGCTAAGTTGTGTTGCTACATCTTTTAGCAACTAATAGTCTTTTAGCGACAAACCTACCTCATGCATAACAGAAAGTAATGCATAAATAGAAACAGCAAAAACCATCTGAACCTAAAATGATTCTAGGGTTACTAAATGTTTATTAAGATATTTATGCCCCACTTTTCTCCCCAATGGGTACCCAAAGCAGCTTATTATCATTGTCTTCTCGTCCACGTGATGCCCATGACCACCCTGTGAGGTAGGCTAGAGAGAGAGCGAGAGAGCGCATGACTGGCTCAAGATCACCCAGGGAGCTGCCGTGTCAGAACGGGGATTTAAAACTGAGTCAGAACGGGGATTTACTCTGACCATGATGTCATCACAAGACTATTGATACAAACAGCAGCCATGTCATGCATTTAATTTCTCAGTGACTGGGGGTGGGAGGGGATACTGTTGTCAGTGTGGCCCCTTCGTTTCAATGCTTGTGAGGGACTGAGTCACAACATAGCAACCGCAAAGAACCAGGACCCCACACACAATCCAAAAATAACTGAAGAAATTAAGAGCATTATAAGTTTCACTTAAGAGCAAAATTCCCACACACAATGTGTCTTCTTCTTCATCCACCACAATTTTCATATAGTTGAGAACAGTGACACATGTTGCTGTTAGAGATGCACCTCTACAGAATTATACTGGGGATTCATAAGACGGAGCTACTGTGGCAACCCCTGACCCAGGTCTTCACTTTTTTGTATTATCCTTTATTCTTACCATAGAACAAGTCCCTCAGGCTGGAGGGTCATGAACCACCTCATCACCCGCACCCTCAGCCTTAGGAGTTTGAGGAAAAGTGGACTTCTTTTGCTTTTATTTTTACACTCAGGTTTCCTTAGTCCTTAAGCAGAGGTCACAGTAGATCCTTATCAGGAACCCCCTTCCATTGAATCTTACAGTTTGTCATGGATAATATGTACTGATGAGAACGCAAGAGCCAAGAGTAGGATGCACACTTATTTTTATTAACTTGGTTAGCATGACATTTAATGCCTTCCCCTTCTAGTATATTAGGTGACACAAGTTACCAGAGCTGGGAGGTGCTTTGTGCTTATTGCTTACGAAGTACACACACTTTGAGAGTCTTAGAAACAAGAACTAGACAAGCTTTAACACTCCACTGCTTTTTATAGGAACAGCATCCAAATCCTGCTTGTTTAAATAATATTCTGAAATCCCTATTGGACTCTCTCGACCATGCAGGTTACCTCCTGTCCCTTCACAGTTCTTCCTCCAAAACCCAATCACTCTTTTTTCAGGTGGTCAGTGGCTGTTAAAACTGCCTCCAGTCCGCCCCCCCCGCCCCCCATTCCATGCAGTCTTTCAAATTTGATTGGTCTGACCTGAAGAAAAGAGGGTGGAATCTTCTTCTGTCTGCCATAACTACCTTAAAAACTTTAAACAGTTTGTACTGCTTCAGTCTTCTGAGGAAATGTAGTACTTTAATTCTAGGAGGTGTCTATACATTTTAAGCAGAATTCTTTGCAGCTATGCAAAGCTACAGTACTCAGGACTTCTTAATTGAAGTCTTGACAGCTAAAGCACATTACATTTGTACAGATCCAAGGACTCCTGTTCTCTTAATGACTCTACTCTTTCACCATTATTATGCTTCTCTAGGAAGACCTGCATGGTGCCACCATCCTTCAAATCACCTCTCAAAATGAAGTTCTTCCCTGAAGCCGCCACTTCCCTTCCACCTTCACCTGCAAAAAAGGCCAAAGCACGCAGGGACGTATTTACCTGTATTCGTCACATTTTACTCTTGCCTCTTTCCCTGCCTTTTGTTGTCTCCCTACTGTAAATTGTTTAGAATGTAAGCTCCCTGGAGAACGGCTGTTTTCAAGTTCTTGGGGATACTGGGCTTATGTTATGAAACGCCATGTACACTGAAAATGCAATCTGTAATATATGTGAATCGCTTTACTAAGAAACTGCCTATTAACTGAAATTTGCTCAAGCAGTTCTACCTTTTAAAATCTGTTAGCTGTCCAAACATGTGTCCCCCCCCAACCCTCTTTATCTGAAGTGGCTAACCTTGTAGGTTTCAACTTTTCCCATTTAGATGACATTCTTGTAGATGGATACACTATATTACACTGTATGTACATTAAATTAAAATTAATCAAGATGATTAAAAAAAATTTTTTTTTTTTAAAAAAACAGTCTTTGACGGTAAGTGACTACGGTAAGTGACTACTGATGAGAAGTGACCACTGATGTTCATCCAGCCGCATAGGACCCAGAGAAACCCGCTTCTGTGCAGTTAATACTGTGACTCCTTCTTCTACAAAAAAATTAAAAACAAGCAATACCTGCATTTACCGAGAGCAAGCAAGTGACCTGAGCTGGAATGCATCATAGTCAGTGTTCCCTCTAAGCTGAGTGAGTGTGAGGTAGCTCACAATTTTTTAGCCTCTGGCTCACACATTTTTGTCTTAGCTCAGGAAGGAGGGCTCCAGAGCAAACTAACTGATGCAGTAGCCAAGTCGCTCGCTCACAACTTTAATGCCAGGAGCTCACAAAATAGATTTTTTGCTCACAGGACTCCACAGCTTAGAGGGAACATTGATCATAGTACTGAAATCAGTACTCCAAAACCCTGAGCAATCTGCTGGCAATCTTTGGCCCTATGGCAGGTATTCATTTTCCTTGCTCTATAGCCCTGATCTAGGTAGTTCAGGCTAGCCTGATCTCGTCAGATCTCAGAAGCTAAGCAGGGGTGGCTCTGGTTACTATTTGGATGGAAGACCTCCAAGGAATACCAGGGTCAGGGTTGTGATGCAGAGGCAGGCAATGGCAAACCATCACTGAACATGACTTGCTGTGAAAACTCTACGGGGTTGTCCATTGTGACTTGACGGTAAAAAATGCTTATGTAGTTAACTAAACTGACCAGCAGATGGCACCAATTAATCATTTTTGTGAAAAAAATTACAGACAAGGTTAAGAACTGCATTAATCCTCCACATGGGACCCTAAGAGATATGCTCAACTTTTCCAATGGTTTGGCCCACCAAACGCATAAACAATGTAAACAGTACTGGGAATGATTTGAACAAATGCTTGGTGTCTCTCACAAGCTTCTCCTTTTCTGACAGGGAGGTTTCAAGCAACTTTGTAACAATTTTCACTGTACTTTTTCCTAGACTCTCAGCTTTTAATTGTAACTCCTATAACAGAGAACTAAATGTCACTCTTTTCACACACAGAACCAAATTCTTCCCACACAGGGATGTCTCCTTCCACTCAGAGACAGAACTTAACTCCTCTTCTGCTTCTCTCACAGAAAACAGAACTCAAACTCATATCAACTGCTTTTACACAGCCCTCTCTGCTGACTGACTTTTTCAACTGTCTGCCTAACTGTCTCAACTCTAACAGTCACTCCTGATAGACATTCAAATCATCCACACAGCATCCATTCCAAAAACCCTCCCCCTCTCTGTCACTCACCAATCACACCACTTGCCTATTTCAACCACACTAGACTTTCACACAGCAAGGTAAACTAAACTTTTAAAGACACACACACAAATAAACATGAAATCGTTACACCCTCCAAGGGGCTCAAGGTGACGTACATGAGTCTCTCCTCCTCCATCTTATCCTCAGAACAATCCAGCCAAGTAGGTTAGACTGTGACAAAATGTAGGCCAGTGAACATTTCGGACATTTGAACCCAGGCTTAACTACTATACCTAGGTTTTGCATGATCACCCTATTAGGATACTGCCCCTGTCATGAGACCGTTGCATTTTTCAGCCTCAACAGCATTAAAAAAGAGGATATTTTTGCATTCATACCCTATGAGATCCTTTAGGCTCATCAAGTGTGCAAGACTGGACAATTGCAACAAATGTAAACAAGGAAGAATTAACCTGAAAACATTTCCTTTAGATCACGGAGCAGACATTATAGAGGGAATAATACAGTGACCTGCAATGTCGCCTTCTGGGGATTTCCATTTACACACACCTTGTATAAGAGGGATGAATGTCCTTGGAAGACTTCATCTGAAAAAGTAGCCTCTAGCCCACAATAAATGTCTTTATGCCAAGTGCTACAGGATTACAACCCATTTTCAATCAGCACTTCCTTTGAGTGAACTCCTATGACACCCATCTCATTCACATCAAATTCCTTTGCCTATACTAGGCTCTTCCAGTCAGTCCTTAAACCCACCTCCTTGAACTATGCAAGACACTGTGAGCCACAGCTCTTCCACAAGGATCCCAGATAGAGCATTTGCTTGGCATGCAAAAGATGCCATTCATTTCCTGGCATCTGCACTTCAAAGAGTGGAAGTAACCAGGGTTGGGAAAGATACTGCCTGAGACTTTGGAGAGATGCTGCCAGTCGGAATAGACAATGCCAAGCTAGATGGAACAAAAATCTGACGCAAGTGTGGCAGTTCCGTGGATCTGCTTGCCAACAGCTGGGAAGGACATGTGGTACTGTCTCTGCTGATGAGTGAGAGTGGAATTGAGTGTCCTTTATTACAGTATTTAAACTTCAGCAAGGCCAGCGGCTTAAGCCAAAGGGCTCTTGGCCCAAAGTCAGTGGCTCTGGGATGGTCCTGGGTCCATTGGCCTAACTCATTCATTTTTCTTGTTTAGATCATATTTCTGTGCTTATTTTGTAAACTGCTTTGAGTCCCAGATGTGGGAGAAAAATGGGGTGCAAATATGGTAAGATTAACAAAGAGTACACAGTTGTCGACAGTTAAGACATTTGTGAATATTCTGTGATGTACTTTCATGGCATCAACAGTAGGGGATGTGCATTCAGATATATCGGGTCCAAATACATATCTAAAAATAACGTATCAGTAGTTTCTGGATATATTCAGGTCTCTGGATGGTATCTGGGATTTGTTGGGATACAAAAAAATTGGTTTGGAAAACCCCCAGAAATATTTGGCAGTAACTGGAAGCCAGGATTCTTAAGGCTCCCACAACTGGGTTTTCCACCACCACCACCCTGCACGTCTGTGTCTTCCCAGGGCTTGGCTGCTGTTGCTTTGGCTTTGATTCTGGAGGGCGGAATATAAATGGAATAAATAATAATAATAATAATAATAATAATAATAATAATAATAATAATCCTTTGAAATTGGTTTTGTTAGTCTTGTAACACTCTATTCTTTGCCTGAGTCGGTTTGTGTTGCTGGAGTCGGTTGGTAGTAGAGTCTTGGGTTTAACATTGCTTTTGATTCCTGGGTTGCACATTGGTTACGATTCTCTAATTTTACATTTGTTGGGCTTACAACAGCATTCCTATTGGGTTGACTTTGGTGATTCTCCAGTTTGACATTGGCTTGGATTCTAGGGTTTCACTTTTGCTGCCTTAGGCTTGCCACATTGTCCATGCTTCTAACGGGATTGCCTGGTTCTGCATTGGTTCTTTGGGCTTGTTGATTCTGTCTGCCTTTGGCTAGGAATTGCTTTGCTTGCTCTTGTGTCTTTGGCTATTCTTTGCCCTGTAGAAAGCATGGAATTTACTCCTTCATAGGAAGCAATGGAGTATGGCTGGGGGCATCTAGTTCAGGGGTCCATAGAAGCGGACCTCTTGGTCCAATTCACTTGAAACTTGGAAGCTATTTAAAAGACAGGCACTGGCAGTGCCACTGCAATTTTGGTGCAATTTCCTCAAATAACAGCCCCTTCACAAAGATTCCCCACAGGAAATAATGGAACCAAATAATATTGGAATCCTGAAAAAAAAAAGAGATCTAAATACCAAACCGGAATTTGGAAACTGGATAATCAGAAGTATCAATATTTTTTGGCCTCCTGATATCTAGATTTGAAAAACACTGGTTTGTTTGTTTTGGAGGTGCACATCCCTACGCAAGAGGGCTCAAACGTCTTAAATGCTTGTATGCAGCACTGCAGAATGCCCAGCCTGCACAAAACTACTAATAATTATGGGACAAACCTTAGATTACATTATATATTAAAAATCTGACATCTCAGTGCAAGAAAACTCAAATTGTTACTGACTGCCCTGTATTTCTATTTACGGTCAGCCCTCTTTGTTACCTCTGTAGTTCCGTCTTGTAGGCCAGGATGCGAGCATTGCAAACCATCAGGTTTTTAACTGCATGCAACGTCTGGTCTTTCTGCGTGGTCACAGCAAGCAGTTTACAAATTCCTTCTCGCATTCGCATTTCAAAGTCAATTTTTTCTTGAATGCTGTAGCCCTAAATAGAAAAATACAAATTGCTCTTAAATAAATCCCAAATGGCAGACTTATGATAGAACAGCCTCAGTTAAAATAGAAACAACATTTAATGATTTCATTATGTGCAGAAGCCAGAGGCATTTTGTTAAACAAGAGTGACAGTAAATATCTCAGAGCTGGAGTTTGTCAATAATGTCTTATTAGAAGTTTCATCTTTAAGCTATATTAAAACAGATAGTTGTAAACTAAAGACAGCTGATGAATGCAGATGTTTCTGCTGAAATAACAACGAATTTTTTATTGATATTCTCAGCGCAAAAGACACAAAGGAGCTATTTTTTAAGAGTGTCCCATTAGTCAATTAGGCTCCTTCTTGGCAGTGGGAAATACAGTCGCTATAAAGCCCTCAGGTAACGATGTGGAGTCACTTCCAGCTATGGTTGCCAACCTCCAGGTGGGGCCTGGAGATTTCCTGCTATTACAACTGATTTCCAGACAACAGAGATCAGTTCCCCTGGAGAAAATGGCTGCTTCGGAGGGTGGACTCTGTGGCATTGTATCCTGATGAGGTCCTTCCACTCCCCAAACCCCACCCTCCCCCAGGCTCCACCAGCAACATCCCAACCCAGAGCTGGCAACCCTACTCTCAGTATAAACTTCCTACAATACAGTAATTGCCTTCTTGAGGCTCATATTCCTAGCAACAGAAACATTCACCTGCTTTTCCACATGACAGTACAGAAAAACGGGGGGGGGGGGGAACCACAAATGAAATAATCTTTAGTTTCTGTAACTGAAAGACCAAGCACCTGACATTCAACTTTAGCTGAAACATGGGACCCATATTTTAACATTTTCTGTGTATGCCCATCTTTCTACTTTTATTACAGTAGTCAAGCACTGAAATAACCAAGGACAAAATCCTGACTGCTGTTTAAAAAAAGAGGAGGGAAATGACAGTGGTGCAACTTTTGCTATCCACTGTACGTATCCAGTTTTAGCGCTAACCTACCAGTTATATAAAACTGTTACCTTATATACCCTACTTAAGTGTCCTAGAAGCACATATAATTTTTTGCCCTTATCCCTCCTCCTTTAACACAAGAGACTAGTATCACCTTGCCTTCCCATCCCCAAATTAATCTTATCACTGAAAGACTTCTTCACACATTAGAACACATGTACCTGCAAAAGCCATACCATTTCTAAGGGTTTTAAATATACCTTGTTTTCAAGTTAATGTGGTGGGATACACGTTGAAAACTTAGGAAACTCTGGCATACAGGCTACCATTTGCAGCATTTAGTCAGTATTCTTTTTTTCTTTTGCAAGGTAAATGCTTTTCTTATTTTTAGAAAATAAACCAACTTTAGGCTGCATTAGCTCCTATAAAGCATTCACAATGTTTACTTTGCTCTAGTTCCACACCATAAACCGATGTAAGTAGGTAAGACAGTCAATCAAAATTAGACAGAAAATAAGCAACTGCATTTTATCTAGCTATATTTTACAGCACTGTTTTCAAAGTATTAAGTGCCACAAGGGGGCAGACTTTTAAAATATGGGCAGTTGTCCTATGTTATACATTAAGGTTTATATAGAGGAGTTACTGTTTATTTCATTGTTGCACGAGTCTTGAAAACCATAATATACAAGGTAAACAAATAATGTACAGACTGTACAAACTTTGCATTTACTGCACAATGCACTGTGGTTCAAAAAGTACACACCTATACATCAACTACACTCACTCAAGTTCATTTATTAACGTACTGACATATTTCAACCATGACTTCATAGCCCAGTCACAATCAGGATGTAAAAGAGGGTGAAGAACTGCAAAAGAAAAGTTTTCAACTCTATGGTGGTATCCTCAAGATCATTTAGCAAACGGTTAGCCCTCTAAATATATGGATGAATTGACAATCCTGAGAGAAAGAATAACTTTTCTACATTTCCAACACAAGCTCTCATGCTAAACCAGGATATAATTTACACTATGGGTTGTGAATAGGGAAACAGGGGCAGCAGTTATGCCAGACTAATTTACAATTGCATGCCATTTCACTCCTTTCATACAGATGGAGGGAAGATTCTAATTTGTATTACAATGACCAGTACAAATTAGAATCCTTACTGTTGCTGGAAATAACTATAGAAGTGACACACAAACATAAAAAATACAGAAGCAGGGGGTAATAGGTGGGTGGGGGGGTGATAGGTATTCCATCATACAATAATGATGTCTGTGTGGTGTAATAGAAGCTGGATCTGTACACAATCACAATTGTATCCCTTCAACTCTTGTTTTGTACTGACGATAAACTTAGATTATTCCTTTTCTTCCAAGGACAACAGGAATTAGAAGCAAAAGAAAAAAAGAAAATCCTTTAGGATCTCGAAGATTAGCAACATTTATTCATTAATCGAGAGCTCAATTCTTCAGAGGCTATGAAGAAGAAATCAGATCCCACATTTTTAAAGGAAAAATAAATGTTACTCATATTAGCAACAGTAAATACAGGCGCCAGAATGGGAAAAGGTATAGAACCTGAAGATTAATAAAGAGAATATTGTTGATAGCAAGGAAGTTATTCTCAGAATGCTTTTGCCAAAAGCACTGTATCCATTTCACTAGCAGAAATCTACAGATGATTATGATAGTGCCAGTAATAAAAAATCTGTTTGAGAAATAAAAAGGAAAGTGACATTTTGAAACACCCATTAATAATGTAAAACAAACCAGCTTATTTTGCATAACGTATTCTGCTTCTACTAAAAATGGGGTGTGGGAATATAATGTATGTTGCTTGCATCCCAAGACTTGTAAAGACACATGTATAAGCTTACATATCACCAGACTTCACTATTTTCAAGCCTATCGTCACAGTCTAAAAGGTAACTTTAAAAACTACTACATGAAACCCAAGATGTCAAGTCCATTGAATTCTGTGCTCACACAAATGACATAGCAATTAAGCATGCCTCTATCAGTAGAACTCCAATCCTGACTGCACTTCAATCCCTCTTTTTAAAAAAATTGTCATTACTGGGAAAGAAAAAATAAATATTTAAGTAACTGGCAGAGGCTGATTCCAGCTGGAATAAATATAATACAAGCAACATGTCTGCAATTCAAAATGAAAGCAGTTTTAGACCTGGGTAACTGATGCTTTATACCAGAAGTAGGAGAGTGATTTTCATACTTTTCTGGGATTCCAGATCATCATTGCATGCTGTTATCTATTTAAATTATGGACTTCCTACAAGGAACTCAGAGAAGCATACATGTTCTCCACTCTACCTGAGGAGGCTGAGAACAGTACAGAATAACTGGTCCAAGGTCATCCAGGGGAGGGGGGGGGTTAACCAGGGTCTCCCAGATCCTAATCACTACACCACATTGGCTCTTTACAGAGATTCCCCATAGGGGCAATGAGGAAGAGAGAACAGAACAATATTTCCTTGAAAGATAGTTCATCCACAAACAGCCACAGGAGTTGTCACAGCTCAGATGGGGTGTCACCTGATGCTGCCACCACTCTGGTTTTAGGATTCCTTGAGAAGGCCCAGAGCACCCTCCCATGTTTGGCCGAAATAAGCATGAGGACCAGGCAGAGTAAACAACAAGGAAAAGGTTTATTTTTACAGGTCAGCCCAATATGGGAAGAAACAAGGTGCAAGAACAATATCAGTAAGGGGTGAAAAGAAACCAAATGCCCTAACACATCTAAACTTACTGTCCGTAGCCCACTGTCTCAAGTGGGCCTCAGTCTGCTCACCCTTCCTCTCAGGATGAGGGTCTCTTCCCTGCAGCAGCCTTCCTTCTGGCTCTGCCCTCTTGGAAGAAAGAACAGCTCTTTTTCTGTACCAACTATTTTATTATAAGTCTCCTTTCTCTGTGATTGGCTAAAATTGGCGCCAAAACCTCTCAGGGACTTCTGGGAGTTGTAGGCCAGGCCTCCTCCCTCTGCTACTCAGGTTCCCTAGGCCTACTAGGCCTCTAGTTGCACAGCCCAGATCATGACAGGAGGGCTGGGGAAGAGACAAAGCACAGTGGACTTGTACACAGGTATACAGTAAATGCATGTATGAGCCTACAGGCATGGTACCTACGCTACAGTAAGCATTCATACATACATATGAGTACATTTCAGTAGGACCAGGAGCCTGCGATGCTGATACATCCAGGTACAAGTAGTTATCAGTTGGTAAGGGGAATTTTATACTCTGTATACCAAGGCTGTATGCTTATAGAAAATCGAGATGTTGCCCTCTTTACACAACAGCAACATTGTGTCTTGGGAACACAGTGGGTAGCACATGTTCCTGGTACGTATGGCTGTAATATTTGAAAAGCTCTCATGCTCAAAGAAAAGGCAAGTGCACATTGTACATGGATTCAATGTAACTTGCACAGAGCCACAGCACACACATCTTTCTGCACACAGAGTAATTCTTATATTACAGCCCGCACACAAAAAGCAGCAAAGCACATGATTTAAGCTCCACACTTGCCCAGATACTGGGTTGTGGTTTCATTCGGTCTCATCATTTCAAAACCATGAATGCACACTGCCATTTTCTTACCTGCAAGGATGTGCATGCATCTTCTGTAATGCACGAACAGAGTTTGCTTCTCTGGGGCAGTGAAACACAGGGGTGAACTGGCCAAACAGGGAAATTGGGCCACCGCCCTTAGAGAGCCACTGGTGGCTAGGAGCAAGCACAGCCAAACCCCAGCAACTCTGCCTGAGCCTCAGGATGGCTTGGCCAAGACCCAAATCAGCCATGGCCAGCATGTGTCAGCTCACCAACTGTCTCCTCCTGCACTGCTTCCAGCTTGGGGGATGATGCAGTGTCTGACCTAATAAGGCCCACTGTTTGCATCACTGGGCTGTCTGGCCCTACAATCCTAGCTTGCAGTCAGGGTGGATTTAAATCATGGTTTTCTACGTAAAGACTCATTCTTGCTAGTAAAATCTTAATATTTACAACCAGATGAAGGTTTCATTTTTC